AGTGATTTGGAGTGATGTGGAAGCAAAAGGCCGAGTGGGGTATTTATACCCGTGTAGAACCACAGGCGGGCAGACAGGCGGCCGCCTGTCAGTCCGCCACCGCTATGAGGGGAAGTTTCTGGAACGGCGAAGATTCGAGAACGTCGACAGGCGGCCCGCCTGCTAGACCGCCAGAGCCAACTCTGCCCGCCTGCGTTTGAGTTCACCGCCAGAGCCAACTCTCGCCGTTTGCCAATGTTCGGCAGGCGGCCTGGTAGGCGGCCGCCTGCCTGGTCGCCTGTCGTGCATTCGGCTCCAAAACTCATGCTTTGCTTCCAAATTTATTCTGAACACCTTCCTTTCTTGCTCCAACTTCCAATTCCATTCCAGTAGGAAAATATTACTAATTTCTTATTGAAATAAAACATTTTTATTTTTCTTGGCCCATTCAACTTTACTACTCAAAAATATAGATATATGACTTTTAATAGAAAAATTACTTCTTATTAAGAAGAAAAATTATAAAAAATATGTTAAATGTGAGGATAAAATTATATATAAAACGACTTTATCACCTTTTATCATTATTTTTATAATTCAATAATAAAGAAGGAGTCAGAAAAATTAGATTTAGGCACCATTTCGTTCAACCTATTTTTTTTGCTTTTTTCTTATTCTTATTAAAATTAGATGAGATCAGATCTAATCAGATCAGTTCAGAGTAGATTAGATCAGATCAGATTAGATTATATCAGATCCAATCAAGAATTATTATTATTATTCATATTATTATTATTAGGAATTATTATTACTATTACCATCATTATCATTATCGTTATTACTCCATACTTTTTAAATTCCATATTTTTTACTTGTTTCACTTAATACAATTCCATAGTTTTAATTACTTTTTAATTATATATTAATTAAATATGTATTCTAATGTATATATGAACTAATTATTAAAATATTAAATCAATATTCTTATTTCATAAAAAAATAATCATAAAATAAAAAAGATTACTACTTTATAATACAACAACAACAACCCAGTTGAATTTCACAAAGTGGGTGTGCCGGGCCAAGGAAGTAGTGCAAGCCCAAGGCGACACGCGGATGATTAATATGAATGATTATTCTAGTATCGGCCATTGGATTCCAGTGGCCATGGAACCAGACTCTTTTAGTATATGAATTAACTAATTTTATTTCATTAAAATTAATCATAAAATAAAAAAACATTTATTATATTATAATATGAATTATCATTATAATTTTCAGAAGTTATTATAAATTCAGATTAAATTATTGATTTGAATTCTAAAAGAAATCATAATTAATCAGATCAGATCGGATCAGATCATATCCAATCAGATTAGATCAGATCCAACCAGATCAGGTCTAATCAAATCAGATCCAATTATATCAGATCATAACTAAAAAAAATCAAATCAGATCAGAAAAATAAGTTGAACGGAGTGGAGCCTTAATCTTTTTAAAATTATTGGGGTATGTTGAATTGATTATTGGTTAAATTATGAATTCGAGTTTGGGTCTCGGGTTTAAATGTTGGATTCGGGTCAAGTCAGATTTTTGGCTTAAAAAGTTGGATTACGAGTCGAGTTTGGGTTTCGGTTTTAAAAGTCATGATTTCAGGTATATCATTTCAGTGTGGGTCAGCTATCACCACCCAATAATCCTTAGCCCTAAATCCCTAATGCAGGCGCGGAACCTTCACTTACTCATGGGCGTTCCTTAATTTTATTACTCCGTATAAATTATACTCGTAATTCTTAAACCTGAAACCCTGAACCCCCTGAAACTCTCTGTGCCAATGGCCAAGGCCAAGTCAAGCCAGTGCGTAAAGCACATTGAATCGTACGTTAACTCTTCTACCTCTCCTGCCGAACAGGTTCGTGCCTGCTCTTTGTCCTTTTGTTTTACGGAGTATAATCTTTTACATGGGTTTGATATTGCAGCCAATTAAGACCATGCTTTATCCAACTTTTAATTCAAGTAGTTTTCAGACTCTACTCCATTTCCAAACTCCAGAGTTTAGTTAAAATTAGAATTACATGGGAACTCCGTTACCTGACCCCCCTTAAAATTAAGGTGGCGTATATATTTCAAAGGCCTAATTGTTCTTTTTGGCTCTTCTATCCATGTGTTAAATTTAGCAGGAGACCTCGGGAATCTCCACTAGACTGACTATATGCCGGTTTAGTTCAATATATGTACCTTTTGGATGTTTTTTTTGAGCTGTGATCTTTGATTGTTATTCCCTACAAACTTCATTGTATGCATAGCTATGTTCTTTGTATGATTTTGTGCTCTGGTAATATCGCGTTTGGGCTACAGGCTGCAAATGTAGACATTGTTGCTGAACTTGTGAAAAAAGACTTGCTAACATTAGATGAATTGGTTAGTCTATCAGGTTCTTCCTTCCTTATTCAGTACAATTTTTTATGTAATTATATTTGTTTCTCACTTATTGGGAATTAAAATGCTGTTCAATTTATAGGTTAGGGAGATGGATATGTATTTGACAAGTACCGATACCATCATCCGATCAAGAGGTATGTTTTTCTTTTGCTATATCCTTCATTAGTTTTTGTTTTATTTCAGGACTCATGCTGTTGCACCTATGAAAAAAGAGTTGATCATATATTAGCAATTATACCTCTCCTCGTGAGTTCAGAACTGGATAAATTGTCCTGCAATACTAATGGTCTGTTTGTTACACGGGATTCAATTCCATAGAATTGAATTCACCAATTCCAATTCATTTTTTTGTACAACCGATTCCAAATCCACATAATTTTTGTGCTACCAAACACCAGAATTGGAATTGAAGTCCTCATTTCCAATTTCATACTTTGAATTCCGTGTACCAAACGGGGCCTAAATGATGGACAAGTTTGGTCTTTCTGGAAGGATTTTGAGTGCAGAACCCTAGGAAAATGACTTTATCCGTTCATTTGTTAACATTGCCAGGGGGTTGGTTGGGTGGAGTTTCCACTTCATTAAATGGTTCAATAGCATCATTGTTTCTAGTTTTTACGAGTATTATTTAAATTTTTCAGGAGCATTTACATTCTTCTGTTACTTAAAACATTACCCCCTCTATCAGGAAATGTTCTTCTCACTTTCTTTTTTTGTCCGTCGGGAAATATTCTTTTTAGTCTACTTTTTTAGGGTAAATGTCAATAATACCATTTTATTTTACCACCCATATACTTTTTATTGCTTTTTGAATAAGAAAAGGAGCTCTAAAAGTTTAAATTTGGGGCATTCTTGGATGTTTGGTACTTTTTTTCCTACTCCTGAATAAACATGCCAAGTCAACATTGGAAGAACATTCCCGGATGGAGGGAGTATTTGTTTGCCTCCTTTAAATATGGATTTGTAGTTCTTAATGTTTTGGGAACTCATTGTGATACAAGCTATTATCGTCCATTGCTTATGGAATTAAAAGAGACATCATTGACAATGCTTTAGTTTAGGGCACATAATGGACTAAATCAAAATGACACATTAACTTCCGTTGCCTCTTACTGTCTGTGATGTTTTGGGCTGTAAATGCATCAATGGATCTAGGGTCTAATAGAAACTGCCTACAAGGGTAAGACTGCATACATCATTGACCCGCAAACCCCAACGCAGTTGGGATTTTTCCAGATTTTGTTGCATTGTGATACAAGTTATTATTAATCTTCTTGGTCTTTGCAGGTAGGCGTCCCATTATGGATTGCCATTATAGATTGCTCCATTGTCCTTATCGAGTTATATAGCTCTAGTTATAAAAAATTCTGATGATTGGCTAAATGGCTAACACCCATAAATTTTCCGATTCTTAATTAATGATTTGCATCACCATTCCCCATATGTATGATATGAATATAATTATTTTTATGCCACCTAAAATTCTAACTATGATGATTGCTAATAAGAGTCTAGGCTGTCTAGCACCTAACGCTTGCCTGTTAAAGGTTCACTGTTGATGCAACTGTTTTGTGATTATTGATGGCTGTGTAATTGCATTTCCTGAGACACACATATTACTTGTTTTAAAACCTTTGCTGTTTTTTGTTTGATATGGTGTCTTCTAGGAATCCTTCTCCTTGGGTGTGTACTGGCACAACTATCGTTGAAGCCTTTAACTGATGCTGCTATTCAGAGTTTTACAGGATTCTTCATAGAGAGACTGGTTAGACAACAATTTAGTCTAATAAAAAAAATGTTTCTTTTAATACATTTCTAGCTTCCTGCTAAAATTATTCAAGTATTGCCTTGTTATCTCCCATGATATTTGTGTTGCATGCCCACTACAGCTGTCTGTTATCATTTTTTATGTTCTCCAATACATGAAATTTTATTCTTATCAGGTAGATTGGAAAGCATTGCGTGGTGCTCTAGTTGGTTGCTTGGCATTACTGAGAAGAAAACATGATGTTGGCATGGTCACAAACAACCAAGCAAAGGCTGTTGCACAATCATTTATGGAGAATATGCAAGTGCAGTCCTTGGGACAACATGACAGAAAGGTACGCTAGGGTTAAGCATGGGTGGATGATTTGTTTATCAGTTTCTAGCAAACTCCCCTCCCCGCATCTGGATTTAGCTATTTATCTGCCTTCTGAACACAGCATCTCATTCTTGCAGCTTTGTTTTCAAATTTTGGAGTGCTTATTAGACTGCTATCCTGATGCGGTTGAACCATTGGTAAATTCACTATCTGATCATTTTCCTATTTTTGTCATGGTAAACAAATTAATGTAAATTTAAGAGTGTAGTTTCCTTTCAATTAACTTCACATAGCAATGCTAGAACTGTGTGCTTTCATCTTGCTATATGTCTACAACACCTTGTTTCCATTGTAGTGAATTTGACTCTATGTCCAACAGTTGACACTTGATTTGAGTCATTTGACGCTAGGTGGGAGTAGGCTTACAATGTAGAGTCATGGGCTGGAGTGTCTGTGTGCACTGTGAGAGGAAGTTAGCTATAAGCCTAAGTAACAACAAGAAAAAGCATAGCTGGTAGGGGTGGTAGCCTGGTTCACATGTGGGTCAAGGCTATACACTTTAAACAATGTAAGAAAGTGTAACGAGGGATTCCTATCCTTTTTTCAGGTTTAGGGTCATGTTCACCATTGGAAAAAAAATCATTTTTTGGTTTTGAAGAGGTTATCTCATTCTCATTAGCAAAGACCTCTATTTGTAGGGTATAGATAGGATTTGAAAAGCACAGCCAAATGGGCCTATAACACATACTTTACATAATAAAGATCTTAGTACATATTCTATCTAAATGATAGCACACTACATTAGCCCGTGGAACAATAGGTAGCCCGGCAGAGACTACATTAGGCTGAGCAACTTCGTGCCTCTTGAGAATGAGTTTCACTATGAGAAACGAATTGTTATAATTATTATTCCGTAAATTGTGCTTGAAAATGAATACTTTGTTTTTCTAAACATGCCTGTGGGGTTGTCTGTGACATGCATTGATATTTCTGATATTCTTTTCTGTTATTTCATATTTAAAAACTAGATCTCTATTTTTCTAATTATCATTTTTCTATGGGTGAGATAAAAATATTTTTTTCTTTCTGATGGTTTCTTAGGGTGATGTCTTTGTTTATGGAATCTGTGAATCAATTGATGGCGAGAAAGATCCACAATGTTTGATGCTCGTATATCGAATTGTTGAAGCTCTAGCACAGTTGTTCCCTCAATCTTCTGGTTCACTAGCAAGCTATGCAGGAGATCTTTTTGAGATTCTTGGGAGTTACTTCCCTATCCATTTTACAAACGTGAGATCATTGAATTTCAATCTATATTTCGTAAATGTTATCTCACTTTTATTTAGTTTTATATATTCTCACATCAAAAATAAGAAGCAAAGGAAGTTTAATTTGGCTCAATCAAAATTACACATTAAACTTCCCTTGTTGCAATGCATCAAAGGATTTAATGGAAACAACCTCTCTGTTTTTTACAGGGGTAAGATTGCGTACATTTTGACCCCAGGCCCCAATGGAATTGGGAATTGGGATTATATTTGGTTTGTTGTTGATGTTTTCTCACACGGAAAGAAAAAGTTTGGTCTTACATAGAACATTTTTAGTAATGCTCGGTTACTTTTGTGTTCTAGTACTGTTTGCGCTTGCCACTTTGTACTTATTGTCTTTAATATGCTGTTCTAATTTCCATTATCTAGTCAAAACGTGAAGATGTTGATATAAAGAAAGAGGAGCTGTCACAAGCACTGATGGTATGCTATTTGCTTTAATGCACTCTATTCTAAATTCAAGTTTTCCATTAGGAAATATATCCATAATTCCATATGTAAGGAAAACATGAAACACATTTTAACCTATCTTGACATTGCACCACCCATGGTTGATGTATGGTTGTTGATTTCAACTTGAAGTGGTTGTTTAGATTCATCCACACTTTAGAGGCCTAAGAGGGAACTAGTTTCTACCTGTTACTTGGAATGGTACAAATAATTTACTCCCTCGTTCCTAATTTATTTTGCCTATTTGACTTTTCGGTCTCCAATGCAACAATTTGATCATTAATCACTATATTTATACATAAATAAATATTTTCAAACTAATAAAACTACGATATTTTCAAACTACATTTTGAAATGAATATAATGATATTAAGTTCATTATCTAGTCTGCATTCACACACTCTCCCAAGACCCTACATTTGTGGGATCATACTGGGTTGTTGTTGATATTAAATTCACTCTATAACTAAATGTACTTTATTTGCAAAATTTGGTCACAGTTAACGAACTTTGACCAAGAAAAGGAAAACATGCATAATAAATTGGGACGGAGGGAGTATTTTTTCACGAAGTTAGCGTACCAAGGTTGTACTAAAACCTTTGACAAAAATTGGGCAAATAAACTTAGAAAGTGCCAATGGTAAGACTCTCAAACACAATGTCTGAAAACTTGGCTACAGCAAATAGTACTCATAGTCTTGCACTCGTCTCCATAACTCCTCAAAGTAGGGTTTGCTCCATTCCTCCAAATGGAACGTGGTGGTCGTCTCCCATAGTTTTAGTAGAGTTTGTACACGCAATCCATTATTATACATTGAGTACTTATACTCCCTTCTTTCGTAAATAAACTTCAATTTAACCATTCACATGGTCAAACTATATCTTCTTCTTTCTATTTATTTACTTTTAATCATTTGTTACAATAAAATAGTCATATCGCCTCTTGTTTTGTAGAACTTTTTTCTATATTCTTAAATTTATACTTCCTCCATCCAAGTAGGTTCTTCTCGTTCTGACTTGGCACAATTTTTAATGTTATATAAAAATGCTTTGACTTTCAAAAATTTCCCTTTCAATTTTCTGCCTTTTGTCTTCTTCCTTCCCAAATCAGCCCCTGGCACCTTCTTCATGTTGATCCCTTCGCGAAGGAATAAGAACCAAGAAATCAAACTGGCTATGAAATCAAAATCAAAATTGAAATCACAACTCTTTGTTAAAGAAACCAGAATTGAGAAAGAAAGGAACAAAATCAAGAAAGAAATACAAAAAGAAGAAAGAAAGCAAGAAAGAAAGACAAAAGGAAGAAAGCAAGCAAGAACAAACCAAAGAAAGAAAGAATTGAAGAAAGAGTCGAGAAAGAATTGCCACCCTTTCCCCCGCGCCCCTTCGTCTGCAGCTGAAGAAGATGGAGGGTTTCGGAAGTTGATCGATCATGGGTTAGAAATGAGAGAACGGTGAGATTATGTGGGTACAGGAAAAAGAGAAAGAAAGGGGCAAAAAGGTCTTTCTCATTTTCTTTATTTCCATTTTCGGAAACGGGAAAAAAGCTATGGGACAGCCCAAAAAAGGAAAATGGGAAGAAAGATATGGGACGGAAGGAGTATATATTATATTTTAATTTTACACCTAATATTTAGATAAATTGAATTCAAAATCACTTCACTCAAACATCTCAAACTGAATCACGAAGTTCATTTGGGACGGAGGGGGTATATTGTTATTCCATTAATTTTTGGATGCACTTGTATTGTCACGTGAGAATCATATTCGTTTTTTTCTATGTTTTTTGTGTGTTACAGGTTGCGTTTGCATCAACACATTTTTTTGAACCATATGCAATTCCATTACTTCTTGAAAAACTATCTTCTGACTTGCCATCAACAAAGGTTAGTTCAAGTGTACAAGTCACATTCAAGCATTGTAATATCTTTACTTATTCCTTAACTCTCATTGGGAGCAGGTTGATTCTCTCAAGTTCCTTAGCTATTGCACATTGAAATATGGGGCAGATAGAATGAAAAAGCATTTTCAGGCTCTTTGGTCTGCATTAAAAGATGCAATATTGATGAGACCACAATGTGCAATGTCAATAGAATCTGATTTAGTTGACGGTATACATTTTCAAGAGAATGAAATAATGACTCAAGCTGTAGAGCTGCTTCAGACTGTTGTTAAGCAAAGTAATGGCTCATTCTCAACTATTATTATGGATGATGAGGACATAAAGACATTTATGAACTCACTAAATGAGTTGAAAGTTCTTGGTTATGCATCTGTACAAAACAAACAGAGATTGCATGCAGTTGCTTGTATTCTCTCAGCTTCTGTCAGATCTTCTGTTGGTTCTTGTGATGCAGTTTATAAAGAATTCTTTCCTCTCTTAATGGGTGCCTTGAGAATTTCAGCTGAAATTTCATCTGAAGATAGACTTTTTCTTGGTACAACATACAATTTTGGAGCCTTGTATCTCTCTGTTCACCTACTGTCAGCATGCAAAGACTTGGTGTTTAGCTTTGATGGTATCACACCTTTTCATGATTTTCCCAGTATGGATTGGTGCAACATACTATGTGGCTTCTCTGCTTCGTTATGCAATTCATTAGTTTCTCTTCTACAAGCAACTGCTGCTGAAAGCTTCCCTGATGCTTATATTTATTATGCAGGTATATAGAACAAAGTTATCTAAAACACTCTTTATTCTCGAACTTCCTGGGTTATTTGACCTAATTGCTTTTGACTGCAACACTTCTCTGTTTATCCAAATGCAGTTAGAGGTTTGCAAACTCTTGCTATGTTTCCAGGAAGCTTCATTTCAGTACCAAAGCCTATATTTGAGAAAGTTTTGTCAACTTTGATATCAGTAGTTGCTAGTGATTTCAACAAAACATTTTTGTGGAAAACTGCATTGAAGGCTTTAGTAGATGCTGGTTTGTATATTGACCAGTCCTGCGATGCTGAGAAAGCTGCAAGCTTTGAAACTATTGTCATGGATAGAATAGGTTCCCTGATATCTTCTAATGACCTTAATGTTCCATTGTCATTCAAACTGCAAGCAAGTTATGATATTGGAGTAATTGGGCTGAAGTTTATGCACCGAGTAGTTCACGAATGGGACAAGATACTATCGTACAATTTGTCACATATATTTGTACGTATATTGTTTGTAAACATTGTCTATATACTGGCATGCCGAGTTGGTTAAGATATAAAAATATATTCCTGGTTTTAGTGCATCATTGCACTTCTAAAACTCACTTATTATGCGTTAAAAATATAAAAAGGGCAGTGTCTAATGCACTTTGACCCATTTTGCACACTATACTATGCACATTTTTAATATTAAATGCATAATAAATGTGTTACGCTCTAAAAAAAGTGATATACTGACTGCAATGTTGCTCCCTTTAGAAAAACCGATATACCTTATATCCAAATTTGCTATACAATATTATGCATCATAGTGTTGGAGAGTACATACCACGAGACAATTGCAGCGAGGGAATTAATATGCCTCCATCTCTCCCCTCTTTATTCCATTCTATTGTTAGTGATTATCTTTTAATATCAACAATGACAGGTTAGCGAGGATGTGAAATCAATAAGGCCGACAATCTCACTTTTGGACTACTACTCCGGCAAGATCCTTCCCTGGTATGAATTTTGTTCAGTCTCTAAGTGCTGTGCTTTGTAGCCTACATATATTGCGTTTGTTTTCGCCACCTCGCCCTTAGATTCTCTTAGATATAAACTGCTGCTAGATGGCAATTTCTTTCCATCTTAATGATCGTTCTTCTGTCTGCAATGCGTGTCTTCTTATTATTGCAGCTGTTCGATGGTTTTGAAGCTAATATGAGCATAATAGTAGAAGTAGTAGTAGTAGTAGTAATACTAGTAGTAGTAGAATTAGTAATAGTAGTAGTAGCTAGGTTGCACTGGGACGAGTGTGGGTACTCATACAGGGACAGATTCAAGAAACTGCATTTTAAAAAATTTCAGGATGCAGGGACGGCAAGGATTCGGCAACAAAAAACAATTAACGTAGTAAATATAAGCGTGTAAATGTTAAAAATAATACTCTATTTAATTAACATAAAACAATCAAATGACGGACTTAATTAGCATAAAAAGTAATACAGAGTACTTGTAATATCAAAACGATAATGTTTGGAAAAATAAATAAAAAACAAATAAACTTAGCTTTTGAAATCCTCGAATAAAAACACCAATCCTCAAAAGCCAGTCGTCAGCAATAATTAATTAACTAATTATATGGAGTATAAAAAATTGTCAGTATAAACTAATTAATAAACTAAACTAATTAATAAACAATGGTCTAAACTCTAGCCAGACCCAAATAATTTGCATAAAAAAAATCTCTGCAAATTGCTTTTAATTGAATTAAAATGATTAAAAAATGGCTAGAAGAAAGATATCTAAGGAATAAAGGTTGAAGAAGTGTAGCCACTGTAGCCATCAAAAAAGGAAAGAAGAAGTGTAACACTGACCGGAATTGATTCTTAACACACGCGGATGAGATCAAATTTTCAATCTCATTTTTTGCCCTTAAGCTCTGTTGCAGTCGCTGGAGTCGCCGACTCGCTGGTGGTAAGCTCTGCTCTGCAAATGACGGATCGGCAATGGAAGAGGAGTCCAGAAGGTCCCTCAATCGGCGGATTGCAGAAGGTCCCTCAATTATATACTTCGTATTAAATAAGTTTCTCAATCCAAATCCTAGTCGGTCAAAACTTAAAAAAAATTTAAAAAAAATTAAACAGGCGTCGATTCTTGGCCCATCTGTGCTGGACACGTTTCCAATTTCAAGATCCATGCCTTTCGAAGAAGCCGGCGAATGCGAACAAGCAGATGCATTTCTGGTTCGCCAATTGCCGTCCCTGCCGACGAATCCGCCCCCACGACGATTCTAGAGCGCGATGCAGCACTAAAGTCCCGAACCCGTGCAACCTAGAGTACTAGTGATAGAGAAAGAGAGAGATGCTTATATATATGTATGTGTGTGTGTATATATATATATACATAAATACATGCATTTATACACACACACATATATATACATATATATATACACACACACACAAATATATATATATATATATATATATATATAT